GATCCAGACATAGAGATATATTTCTTCTCAGTCATTGCTACTGTCTCTTCATTGGAAAAAAACAGTGGACAAAAAGAAAGATTTCTATATAGTGGACATAGATAAGGGAAAAAAATCAGAATATCTGCTTAAGATTTTTATCTTGGCCTTCTCACATCCCTTTTCCTCAGCAAGTGGTACTTTCCTTGCACGATGCTGATGAGGCAAGGGCTTTGTCTTGAGAAAGAAAACTCCTCTCCACTAATTATATCAAAATACACATTTTTGTAAGTAGGTTTGTTTTCAAATAGGGTATTTGTAATCCTTCCTTAGTTTTACTTCTTGGTACTGGCAGGTCAATAACTGGTCTACTTATGCCATCTCCTGGGTAATTACAGAATTGTCTTCACACAGGAAAGCCTCTATCAAGAAGCATTAATAATTATCAGTGCCTTAGAATAATTTGCTAATTGAATCCCTGAAGTAATTTTCTTTCTTATTTTATAGAATTTAGAACAATTCAAAAACTACTGAATTATTAATAATGTACCATATTCAGCTATTATGAATAATCAGGAGATTGTAGGAAAAGGATCTTTGTAATTGTGGTCCCAACAACATTGATATATTTAGTGAAGTTGTGTTTTACAAAAAAATACTTTTTTATACTGATATTTTGCTAATGAGAGCCCTGTTTTCTCAAAAGAGTGGGCTTTAGTCTCTTGGGGATGATCAGAAAGAAGGAACAGATGCTGGCTGTGTTGCATAATATGTTACTGGAGATAACTGTGCTGTGTGACACTTCATTTCTGATGTAAATGGTAGAAGAACCTACAAAGAGCAGATGATGTTGTTTGATCTTCTGGTCATTTTAGCTTTGCTATTCCATTCATTACCAAATCTCACATTGGGTAATTACACCTGTCTAGGGTACATGGAAGAGGCTGAAGGGCCTCCACTGGCTCCTGTAGCCTCATTTTGCTTCATTTTCTATGGTATAGAACAGTTTTCTTGCAAAGTGGGGTTGGCTGCAGCATCCTCGGTGGGACAGGTGGCACAGACAAAGCAGAGAAAATCTAGAGATTTTTCCTCAGAGTAAAAAGTGTTTGGTGAATCTGAGTTTCAGTTCACACCTCACAGGAAATTGTAGATTCCCACCACAAGTGTTAAGCGAAACAAAGTGGGCATCTGAAATACTGAATATTCATGTTTTTCAAGTGCCTTCTAATGACTGGTCCCTAAGAAATGTGCATTCAGGATAGAATTAAGTGATTACAGTAGACATTGTGAATCATGTTCTTCTGGGCATCCAGAAAGTACCTGCTCAGTCCCAAGTCAAGGTGTTGTGTTTCACTACCAGGGTTAACACGGGATGTTTCCATTGTGAGGGCTCCTCATCACTTTTGCAAAGTAGGAAATAATGGGAGTGTGAAGAGCAGGAACAGCACAAGGAAGATGCACAGCATCTCCTCACCTGTCCTTTGAGTGTGCCTTCCCTCGATTTTCCCTAATCACCGGTTTTGCATCCAAGTGCTATTACAGGCTAAAATAGAAAACCACACTGGAATGGCATAAATCTCTGATTTTTCTCAGTCTGCAGCATCAGCACATGTTAAGAAAGGAAAAGCCTATTTTCAGGTTTTTTGAAGGTGACTGTGGCCTTTGAACTCAGTTGGGAAAGTTTGCCACCACCACACGTGCTACAATGTCTGTTCCCTGCTTCCTCTCAGAAAACCTTCAGAAAAGCCCCCAGCTTGGCCCGTGAGTCTTTTAAAACACGAATCCAACACTCTGCTACTAAGTGTTTAATTATTAGGATTGTGAAATACAACACCACCTAAGGTATCAAGAGAAGGAACTAATTATAACCCTCTCAGCATGTGGTTTCCCCTTCACTGATAGAATCTCTTGTCATTTATTTGTCCTTTAAACGACTTCTTATGATACCATAATCAGGATAAATGGATCCTTCAGCGTGGAGAAATTGACCCCAAACCGGCACAGAAAGATTTGATTAAAACTTATACTCCTTCTGTGGCAGCCCAAATATCCCAGGGGATCCCATTGCTCAGCAGAGCAGAGGAAATAGCGGAGAGGGAAAAGCTTTCTGTCTGAGAAAAAAAGACTTTATCACTGATGTGCTGCCATCCCCTCTCCGTAGGACCAGCCTGTGATCAGTGCCTCTTGTTTCCTTTAAAACTCAGTGTCAGAAGTTTGGTTCCAGCGTGATTAATTTCCCCTTCACTGATTGTGTGTCATTTGCTTTTAAGTAAGATCTTTACAAATGAGGCAAAACAAAGACAGAGATGAAGACTGTGCGGAGATAAACATTTGTGCTGCTGGGACTCCCACTGACTCGGGCCCAGCAGGGGTCACAGGTAATGGGGATTCACAGGTCTCTGATTAGACCTCTGGCTGTGAACAGGTAATTGAAACACTAGAGCCCATCACCAGCAGTTAGGGAACAGCAAGCCATGGAGGTACTTAGTTTAAAGCAGACCCTGAACAAGCCAGAGGCTTCTCATGCTCCCTGCGCCACTGAGTGAACAAAGCCCGAGCCGGGGCCGTGGATAATCCAGGTCGTGTTTGCACAGAGGGCACAGGCCAGCCCTCAGCAGGGGCTGCTGCTCAGCGATTCTGGGGGCACCAGGCACGAGCAGTGGAGCCTCTGGAACAGATGTGGCCAATTGCCTGGACTGAAGGTCATTCCCTCAGCCCAGGTTTGCTGCGAGGCACCGGTGGAAAAGGGTGTGTGTCCAACAGGGACATCACATCAAGCTCCGTGTGAACCTTTGGAAGCTCCCTCAGTGACTGGGAGTCTGATGGTTCCCTCTCTGCCCCAGTGGAGACAGGACAACAGCAGCTTTGAGGCCCAAACCTGCTTGGGGGATCACGTCATGATGGTCTACATCTTCGTGAGGGGAAGAAGAGGGACAGGCACTGATCCTGCTCTCTGTGACCAGGGACAGGACCCAGGGAATGGCCTGAAGTTGTGTCAGGGCAGGCTGAGGTTGGATATTAGAAAAAGGTTCTTCCCCCAGAGGGTGGTCGGGCACTGACCAGGCTCCCCAGGGCAGTGGGCACAGCACCAAGTCCGACAGAGCTCAAGGAGTGTTTGGATGATCCTCTGGGGCACAGGGGGTGGCTCTTGGGGATGGGCCTGTGCAGGGCCAGGAGTCGGACTCGATGATCTTCGTGGGTCCCTTCCAACTCAGTATACTCTGGGATTCTGGGATAATATTCAGTGTGATCTGTGGCTGATAAACCACAGATTTATCACCACAGAGGCAAGTAAACCTGCTGCCTCCAACACTTACCTCTTGGTCTGTCTCCTGATGGAAACCTCAGCCTCACACAGTTATGAGCCATTCACTGGCCAATAATGTCTTCAAAGGTGTGATTGACACAAATGTGTGATGCAGGGAAGAAATGTGCTGATTTATATCTAATTTTCACTTCCTAGTAATCACTGTATCTCTTCAAAGCCTCTGGCATTAGCAACTGTGGGTCTGATCACATGTAACCTTTGGTGACTGCACACATGGGTGTAATCCATACCCAACACAAGTTTACATGAACAATAAACACACAGAATATTTTCATTATTATCTTTAATCTTGCATAATTTTCAGAATAAATAGCAAAATACAGCATAATTCTAATTTTAGCAGTATGGTTATCATTTGCAATAAAAACATCACCTCAGTTATAAGCAGTGCTGCCAAATCATTGACCTGACTTGAAGTGTTCCACCTGGAATTATAGGTTAAGGCCAGTTTATCACAGGAGCGATTTATTGTGCAAACAAATCTTGCTGCTGGCATTTAGGAAAACGTAAGCTGCCTGCCAGTCAGCCAGATTCTTTTATCACACTTGACTGAAGTTTCCAGCCCTGAATTATTAGTTAATAATATCCGAGCAAAAGCATAATGCATTGTTTAAGTAAACTTTGAAAGAGAAAACCAGTGTCTTGGCTACCAGACTTCGTGCTTGCCTTAGGCAAAGCATTTTTCTTTCAACACAGAATTATAGCAGAACAGAAGTAAGATTTGTGACTGATTCCACCACTTACTGCATGTATAACTCACCTAAAGGCAGAATACTCTGTCCTGAGCTATTCTCCCTCATCCATGCAGTGTAACACAACAGCCCTGGTGCCATAACCAAGCATTGCTCAATCACACTCAGTCAGACATGTCCAAACCTCAAAATTTAAAACTAACACACCTGTGGTTTCCTAATAGGGAAGTTTGATACTGTCCCTTATTTATCATTTTCCCTGTTTAATTAGCGGTGCTTGAGGAAACCCATGGATTTCCTCCTCACAGTCACCTGTGGCTCATTTGGAGAGGAATAACCATATCTTGTCTGCCAACAATTTCTTAGCATTTTGAGTGTTTACAGCAGTGCCATAATCCCAACAACCAGCAGATGCCAGCACAGCACACAAGGACCAAAAGAGCCTTTTCCTGCTCGAAGGAAGGATGTGCAGACCTCTCCTGTCCGTGTGTGGGTACAGTCACACGAGAGCAGAAGTTCCTTCTCCTCGGTGTTCCAGGGTCATATAGATAGAAAAGTCAAGTCAGATCATCATGGCACTGTGCAAAAGTTAATCTTGGATTTAAAAGAGAACATTTACTGGAGAAAGGACTATATTACTGCCCCAACAGGTAATTGGCTTCTCTGTTCAAAACTGGCTTATTTCCATATGAGACTTTGGCTGGAATTTCAAACCTAGTAGATCTGGGTTTTTAACTTTGCATACTAAATTGAGGATCCTTAATATCAGATCTTCTATTGGCACAAATATGCCAAAATCTTTCCATCATCTCTGCAGAGTGAACCCTCCAGACATGTCACGTTCTTGGCTGCCCTTGTGCAGACAGTGCAGGTAGGAGGAATAAAAGGCCAGGTCTTTGTGGTGCAAACATGCTGCAAAGCTTTTCAAGGACAGATGGCTCTTTTTTCTGAAATTGTCAGTGCTCCTGCCAGAAGCCTTTGCAAAACCATAAAGTAGTCCCATTATTCTGAAATTAATTGAATTATGTAGGTCTCTTCTGACAGATTTCTTCCAGAGCAGAAAACCTTGGTCCCAGAGTGTTCAAAAAATCAACAGGCAGGTCTTCACTGACAATGGAGACAGAGCAGGGGGAGTCACTTTGCTCTAGTTCTCCTTCCTCAGAGTATCTGCGAGGTTCATCAACGTCCCTGGAATCTTCTAGTGTGGTTTGGTGATACAGTTTCTAAAGAAGGGAACAAACAAGTCAAGTCATCACAGAAGCTCCTATTGCCCTTTTAAAAATTAAAGGAATTCATGGCATGCAAATCAGAAAGGTGAGCCAGGAAGTTACAGAGAAGAGTATGACCCTTCCTTCCTCTGACAAGGATAAGTTTTACAGAACTCTCAGCTGAATAAGCTCCAGAGCCTGAACTTCCCCCAGGGTACAAATGAGGCAGAAAAGGGCATTGGATCTGCCCTGCACCAGAGAGCTGCCCTGGCATGGAATCTGGCCAAGGAGGCATGAAGGGCAGGCCTGTGAGCATGCAGGGCTCAGACAGGGCATGGCAAGAGGAATTAGAATTTCCCTGATGGCACAGAAGGGCAAGAGCAGGCAACCAAACTTTAACCCTGCCAGAGAAAGCATTTTAGCCCCACTTCTCCATCCTAAAGAGCTTTTAAAGGTGACAGATCCCAGCCTTGCAGTAACTGCTGGTGACCAGGCAGAAGGAGCCAGAAGTCTGAGACACAAGATATTTTCAACAAGGAAGAGCCTTGAATGTTTTCCCATCAAATACATCCCTTGCTTTCGATGCTTCTGAGGTGTGGGCTGAGAGCAGCTGAAGCCATGGCAGCTGTCCAGGGTGGAGAGCCTTTTCTCCTATGCTTAAAAGCCAACCTGACACAGGAGGAGTTCAACATTCATTTCTTACCTGACCCAGGGTTTTTTCCACTCTCTGTATGAGGTAATCCAGGTGTCTTGCTTGCAATGTCTTGTAATCAGTGAAAAGGCAGTTCTGGAAGACAGACACAGGATCTGAGGTTTGATCTGCATAAAATCACCTCCTAATACTTTTTTCAGATGCAAATAAGTTCAATTATCTTTCTCTCTACTGCATCCATTTCTCTTGTGCTGCCTTCTTCAGTTAAATTGCAGCTTATTCTGTTCAGGAACTGTTTCTCCTTGTGAATACATTCTCCATGCATACATGGAGTCATCAACTGTCAGCATTCTTCATCATCTCCAGCAATTAAACCTCTTTCTTCCTCTAAATTTATGATTTCCTTTTCATTAATGGCACCAAACACGACCTCAAATCACATGGGGAATTCTAGCTCCTAACTATGATCTTAAGGATTGAGGAATTGGGTTCTCACATATATAAAAAAGACTATTTTACATTTTCTTTGCCTGCTGTAAGACACAGATTGTTCTTAGAGTCTCTTTGTGATCCCTATGTACTTATAAACAAAATACATGGCAATCACTCACTGATGTAGACCATAATTTTCTTTCAGGTATTCTTTACAACAAAAAGATAATATAATACAAAAATCCACAGTAAAAAACTCAGAAGTCTTCAAACCCCAGAAGTACATCTTACAATCACAAAAATACTCATAAATCCTGCCCACACTTTTACAGTATGTTAGGTAGAAGTTGTTGACCAGCATGTTTTAGACAGAATAAAATTTTGTGCATATCAATTCAGGTACTGTGATAAGAATTTTGGAAGAAATTACGCTTCCTTATTTTCTAATTGAATGATATTGTATTACTCTTCCTACTGTTAACAATACCAGACCTCATTCTTGGGATACCAATGTCTGTGGTATAAAAAAGGGCATTTACATCAGGAACCAGGCAGTTACCTCAGCAATCCCTTCTTTTCCAGTCTCCACAGACACAGGTGTTGGAGCAGCAGAGTGTGTAATATCCAGCTTAGCCTGCACACAGGGAGAGGGCTGGTGTTAATAAGGAACTGAACTGGGCTGGGAAGGATCACACTTTTGCAGACTATTCCATTTTTCACTTCCATTTAGTCCCTTGTTGAACACAGTGCTATGTGTGTGTTAGTGTGACAAGAGATACTGTGCTTCCCATCTATTGATTCACCAGCAGGACGAGGCACCTGGGAAGGTCCTGCTGATACTGAAAACTGGCAGGAGTGGTGATAGTCTGTCCCCAGATTGGCATTATCCAGTCCATGCAGAACACCACTCCCAGATAGGCTTAGTGGCAAAACCTCTTTATTTTGCTCAATTCCAAAACCAGAGGAAACATAATTTCAGAGATGATTAGTTGCAGGTTCAGCCACACAGCACTGGTGGGGTAATGTGAATACATGCTTTTACACTTACCTCAGAAAAAGAACTTCTGCTCTCTTCATTATAGCTGATTAAAGTCTGTTCACCTTCCTGAGGTGGAACAATGGCTTTGCTTTTAGACCTTGACACGAGACACCGGCAAAGTAGAATGTTGGAAACGGCTTTGCTTTCAGACCCTGGCCCGAGACACCGGCAAAGTAGAATGTTGGAAACTGTGTAAACAAGAAAGGGAAAGGAAATGGGCATTGTGGACAGATGGGTATGGCTCAACACATGGATTGGTGAGGGACACAGCCCAGTTCCAAAAGAGCTCTCCCAGGAATCTCCAGCAGTGCAGCTGTGCAGAGGGAATGCTTGGCTGGAGCAGGGAGCCTGCTACAAACAGGCAAGCTGCTGTTTGCACAGAGCACTGCACTGAGCAGCAGACAGAACAGATCACCCAGGTAACCAGAGCAATAGTGCTCAGATAATCCATTCATTTTCCTTCATAAAGAATCCATAGTTCATCTCTCCAGCATTAACCAACATGAGCTGGTACAGCTCTAGAACAAGTGTAACCCCATGAGAGGAATTCATTAATTCCAGTTTGGCAGTACACAGTTAATGTCAAAAAAGCCAAGTATAGAATTTTATTCAATGCAAACAAGAGTATTTACTTTATTGTACTATAGAGTTCAGCTTAATGACAATTTGCATTTTCCAGTCACCATCTAGACAATCTATAATCATAATTTTAGTAGATTTTAGTTCAGGAGCTGCAATTGCATGAGACCCAATGGGCTGATGACAGAAAATCTGCACACATAAATTACTTACCCGGTATTAATAAGGAAGCCATCAGTATTATTCCAATGGCACTGCCTCCAAGCCCCATCACTGCTTGTGGAACTGGGGAATCTCTACATGTATGTCCATCTGGACAAAAGCAGAGCCTAATGTGCTGCTTCTGCCTTGTAGAAAATCCTTGCCTGTCCTGAACAATGATGGGCACCGAGTAGCTGCCTTGTGGGAGGCTTCTTAACATCAGAAGTTCAACTGACTGCCCTAAAAAGAAGACAAGCAAATTATTTCAAGACTCACAGAAAGAAGTCTGATATTCTACAGTCCCTTCTGTTGATAATCAAAGGGAAACTCATTTGCACCCCAACTTAAGATACTTCTTTCAGTCTTAAGGAACCACAGTAAATAGGACAAAATTACATCCCACTTTATCACCTCACTGACCCTTCTGGGCAGAGAACTGTCCCAGCCTTGCTGCATTCTGGCACAGCTGCCCCGATAACCTCAGAATTCATTAGGTAATTAATCAAATGCAGAAGTAGTTCCTCAGCTTCCTACCCCCCTTTCTGCTCATTGCTTCTGGTCCTGTCCTCAGCAGAGAGGAAGACTAATGTAATTTTTTTTCAAATTGCCGCAACTTCATATTTTGAAAGCTGCTCTTCCACGTCCTTTCAGTCTCATTGAGACTCATCAGTGACAAACTATAAAGGTAAGAGGCAGTGAAGCAATAGAGGGTACACAACTGGCAACAGACTTCTCATGAAGGACATGAAAGGAAGAACTCACCAAAGTTCCTTCCTAAAGTCCAGTTACGCTTCACATCTTCTGAGTCCTCATCCAGCTCAAATGTAAACGGCCCCCAAAGTCCATGAACCAGAGCAGGTTTAGCTTGTACAATGAGAGCTGTCCTTTTTTCTTTGTCACACACATCCAAAGAGGGAGCCAGTAATGATGGCATACGGTCATTAATGTCAGACAAGTAAAGCAGGATTGTGCCAGTGCCAGTCTGTGGTGGAGAGCCTGGACAGGAGCAAAGGAAACAGAAAAACCCTCACAACTGGGCACTGACAAACACCATTCATTGGCAGGATCTTTGTGGTTTATCCTGCTAGTCACACATAACACAAGTTTCAAACATCAGGGTGTTCTATTATCCAAATACTGCTGGACTATTTTCTGACTGGCTGCTTACCCTGAGCAGTAGCTTGAACAATAATGGTGTACAGGCTGTTGTTCACAAAAGGGGATGCTTCATCAAAGTCTTTTGCCACAGTAAGAACTCCAGAATCCTCATCCACTCTCAGCCAACCATCTGGGTCATGGGCTAGGTCATATCTGAACAGGAAAGGGGAAAATTAGTTTTGATTTTCAGTGGATTTTGGGTACCAAACTAAACTTGAAAACATCTTTAAATTCCTAAACTTTTTCTTATTCTGAGAATTAGAACATCTCCACTTACTTTATCTTACTTGGCACATCATCTGGATATGTGGCAGGATACTTTCTAAATACCCTCCCAGGCTTCATTGAATCTTCTTTTTGGACAATAAGTAGCGGAGGATGGAACTTAGGAGCACGTTGTGACTGTATGACCTTGATGTTCACTGTTGTGTTGGTGGATTCTAGGTCTGAGGTCATCACAATGCCATTTTTACACAAGAAGAAAGGTTCTTCATTTGCCACAGAAATGACAAGTCTCATCTCAGAGTCGCTTTCATAGTTGAGAGGCTGAAAACCACAGACAAAATGTGATTAGCATTTCTCACCTTTGGCTTGGCACTCACCGCAGGTTACCTGGAACTCAGAGGTGAGGCTCAGCTAAAACACTGAGTTACTGATCTCATAATCAGATTGGCCACACTACATGTTGCCATGTCACTGCTCCTTACCTTGATAATACTCAAAATGCCCTCATTTGTGTCTGGATCTGTCTCAATGGCAAACTGCTCCTTCTCATTGCCCTTTGCTACTCTGTATTTTGCTCTCCAAGCTGGAGTGTTGGGAGAGTCTTTATCTTGCACTTGGAGCCGTAATACAGCTGGATGTTCTTGTCCTGCTGAAACCTGTAGCTGATACTGGGAGGAAAACAAGAAAATATGGATATTTATTTACTTATTTTGGGTAATCTCTTCACAATGGTTTAAGCTTTTGATGGTGCAATGTTGCCACCAGCTTGCCTAACTAGGACTCCAAAGACAGGCTGAGAAATGCAAATGAAATCACCTAAGGAGTGATGAGATCGTAATAAAATGCAATTTGTTCATCTTTATTTCTTAATATAAATTTGTCACTGATTGAGAGCTGAAAGTTCAGACTCTTGCCTTATACTATATAAACAGCACTGTCCTTGTATCAGAACTTTTCAGAATGCAGTGAAGGATGATCCATGTACTCAGATAGAGGGAGCAAATCCCAGCTGTGAGAAGGCTCAGAATTTGACTAGATTGGAGTTAATGCTGATGAAGCACAGACTTCTTGTTTTCAGAGGTTATTTAATTTTGTTCCCTCAGATCTTCCAAACACCCCTCCGAGGGTAGGAGGCCTACTATGGTAACACACTGGTGAACACGTTTGCTTTTGTAGGTGACTTTGTACACACTGTTGTAACCTGGTATCCATTCTTACCATCTACAACTCCAAATATTTACACATACCAGGGCTTGCCTGACTCAGCACTCTGCATGCAAGGGCTGGTTTTGGCTGGGATAATTAATTTAGTAGATTGTAAAATAGAGTAGATCGTAATCATAGAATGGTTTGAGTTGAAAGGGACCTTAAATGCCATTTAGTTCCCACTCTCTGCCATGGGCAGGGACACCTTCCACTAGACCAGGTTGTTCAAAGCCCCAACCTGGTCTTGAGCATTTCCAGGGATGGGGAATCCACCACTTCTCTGGGCAACCAGCACCTAACCTTCCCAGATGTTAGACAGATGTTAGTCTGTCACCTTCCTTCTGCTACCAGTGAGACAAAACCTTCTGGTGCCACACACAGAAAACTAAGGAAGTTTGTCACTGCCCACATTTTAAGCAATATTTCTTCTGACACATAAATCTCATTTGCACATGTTTTGGCCTAATGCTGCAAGTGTCCGAGAGTTCCCATTTCCACTGCTGAGTGCATTGAGCAGTTTGAAGGACTGAAATGAATTTAGAAAGGCCCAGTGAAGGAATGATGTTTTTCCTTACACTGTCACTAGCAAACACAGGGAGGTGGTTGTTTGCATCTTCAACAGCTACATTCACTGTTGCAGTAGATGACAGCTGGGGACTTCCCTGGTCACTGGCTTTAACCAAAAGTTTGAAAGAGTTGGCAGTCTGAAAAACAGAAACAAGGAAATTCCAAAATCAGTGCAGAAGCAGTTCCCACATTTTGCCAGTCACAGCTACAAAGCTGGATGTGAGACTCTCCTTATACCTGGTAACCGTGTAATGAACACGTATCATGCATTAAATTATGAGAAACTGCCAAATATACATCACCTGATAATCCAGGCATCTTGACAGAAGTATTGATCCTGTGGTAGGATCAATATCAAATGTGAATCCATCTGCAGTGGGCATTTGCATACTTATAGAATAGGACACCTGGGAATTCGCAGTGCCGACTTCGTCTTTGTCCAAGGCTGTGACTTGGAAAACTGGCTCATCTAGGAAGAAAAATCCGGATATTAATAGAAGTGTTTAATCTCAGCATGGAGTTTTTCAGGCCTGTGTGCAGGCTCTTAAACACACAAGTCCTAGGACAATCTGTAACTTCTGTGGCTATGGTTATCCCTGGAAAGACTCCGGCCCCTACCATTTCATTTGGGGGGCAAATCCACCTCAAACACTTAGTGCCACACTCCTGATTTTATTTTATAAAAAACATTTATTAGTTTTATTATGCCAACTTCTGAGGAGTTGACACCATGCCCACTACACACCCAGACTAAGTCTTTGTATTCCTTAACAGTGTCTGACCACCTTCTGTGAAGCAAGGGGCATGTGCAGGTTCCAGATCTACAGTTCAGATCAACCTGCCAACGTCTTGGCTTGTAGATAAGAAGAAATACATGGGAAGTTTTTCCAGAATGTCTCCAACATTATGCTAATGGACACTGAGGTTAATCAAACATGAGGTTAAAACACAGAGGTAGCCCCCAAATCCAGGAGTGTTTAAGTAAAAGTAGGGAGAAGAACAGATTTAGTAAGAAAGGGATAAAAACAATGAAGGAATTAAGAAGGGAGCAGTACCCCTTGTTTGGGAAGCACTTACCTTTCCTGTGGTCCTCTCCTATTGTAATGCTATATTCCTCCTTGCAAAACTCAGGTGCATTGTCATTAATATCTTTGACCTTTATCTTGAAATATAAAGGGCGGTCCAGTGGCTCCCCAGTTTCTCTGTCCTCAATATCGAAACGTATCTACGTGTACAGCAACCCAGATATGAGAATGGGCTGAACAGTACCGTTTAGATATCAAACAGAACAAAAAACTTGCAATTTTGAAGCTGCTTCAGCCAAATTTTACTAACACTGGCTTTCAGGCACATGCTTAAGTCATTATTTCACCTTACAAAGGTAGCAGATTCATAATGATCATCCTGAGCATCAAAGAATATTTTTTAAAGTAAAAGAAGATTATTTTTTTCAGGAGCAGAATCTGGATTATTGAAAATGGCTGCCTAAAGAAAATACATAAATACCCCTGGGTCCAGACAGAAGAAGGTTTTCACCTTTGCTTCCCAGTTCTGCAGTATTTATTTAAGGAATGTGTTCAGTTTTCTTCAGCTGCATTTCTAGGATATTTTGGTTCCACACTCATGGATGTGCAGGGGATTCAACTCTGAAGGCTGAATCCTCCTTTGCTAAACTTAATTGTGCTTTAAAACCAAGCCTTGAACAGTTGTGTGCAGTGATGGTGATTGCAAAGCTCTCCAGAATTTATCTTTTCATTATGAAAGGCAAGACCTTGCACAGAAAACCACATGAAAAGCTATGATTTGGGTACAGTTAATCCACAGAGACACAAATAGGAATCACCACAGAATAAACATAAGGAGATCACAACTGAAAAATTTTTTTGCAAGAGGAAAACAAACCCACACTCCCATATTTCATTCATCACATTACCACATTTCTTTCATTACAGTTACTGCTTATGAACACTTTTCTGCTTTTTAAGGAGAAACATATGCTTCCTCTTACATAAAGTTACAGCAATACATCTTTGCAGCTCCTCCAGGATTATTTAGATTTTTTTTGTCTCCATCCTCCTGATCAGGAGGTTCTGTGTTTAAAACTCAGTGTTCTGGCCATATAGCTGTAGCATACTTTGAATTTCAGGACAGCCTCTAAAGTTTTAGGTTATGATCAAGGATCATACCAAAAAGAAAAAAAAAAGAAGTGTATGGATATTTATGGACGTTCCAAAAAAAGAGATTTAGAATCCTGAGTGATGAGGAAGTTACTGGTCTCTGCTGAGCCAATCAATTCAGCACTTACATATAGGTTCAAGATAAAAACAAAGGTTATAAAAACACACAATATTAACATAGGTGTGTCTTATTCTTGTGAAGGATTTAGTCAGGAAAAATCAATCAACCTTTGCAAACAGTTTAAAGTCTTCATTTAAAGTGCATTACCAGAAAAGTTGGGGTCTTCTCCCTGTCGATGGTGCGATGTACGTACACGTGTCCATTCACATCATCTTCTATGGAAAACAATCCAACCTCTGGAGGTTCATCTACCCCAGGTCCACTGATTAAATATTTTAGTGATGTATTGAATGATTTTTTATTGAATAGCTTTTGAAAAGAGAAGTAGAACAACGCAATGTGAGCAGGGGAGATGGAACAGAAATATAAAATACTTAGGACCAGTCCTCTTTGTGCCCACCTTCTCTTTGCAGATGGGCCTTGCTTGCAGGCTTGGTCTCACCCAGCCCAACAGCTTTCTGGGCTGCAGCACCACCCCTCTGCACAGCTCTGGGCCATGATCCTCTTACCCCTCCCTTTCCAGAATGTTCTTTCCCCTGCGTGTCCCTGCAGCTTCCCATGGGAAGGAGCAGCATACCCCTGCCCCCTCCCAGTTCTACCCAGCTCTGTGGAAATCAGACAACTTTGAACAAGGCAGCTTTTTAAAAACTTGCTGTTTAGTGCACAATTCTTGCCCTCTCCTCCCTGTGGTATTTTATTGTACAACCCGTGGTGAGTAAGTAATGACTATTCAAGAAGAATTTTTCTTAAAAGGTTGTACCTGTCCAGCGTATTTGGGGAATGGTCCTTTGTCCTCCTCTTGAACATCAATGGTGGTGATAACCCAGGTCCTTTTTGTGCGCTGGAGAGGACGCAGACTGTCCAGCTCGTAAGAACCCACCCACTGTTGGATAAAGAAGTGTGTTCAGTGTCCTAGTTCACCCATCAGCTGTTGTGTGGCTGTTATTACATAATATTGACTACAAACCTGAGTGCTCTTCCCTCGGGTGGCTTGTCTTAAACTGGAATTTTCAATTTCACGAGAAAAACTGTTGGCAGCAGTAACCTTGTGAGAAAAGAAAAGTGATTGTGAGAAACACTGAAATGTTGTGTAGGAGGAGTTTGCCTTCACAGAAACATATTGATCCAGTTTTGACAGTATTGTATTGAATTGTATCTAACCCTGGAAACTCCACAAATGTCATCTATCCCATTCCAAATGATTCACGTGAGAGCTGGGATATAATTCCTCTGGTCAGCTGAGGCCAGTGCCAGAAATGTAAAATCATCCACTCAGACATCAGTCCATGGCATCATCTCTAGGGCTTTTCTCAAACCAAGTATCTCTACTTTTTAATAACCCTGTCTCTGTGTCTTGGGCTCCTTTAGAAGTTGCCTGGTGTTGACAGGACATAAACCTACTTCTGGAAAAAAGAGTTAAGTCTGGGGAGTATTTCAGGGCCTCAGGTGTGACTCAAGGTGTTCCAAGCTGATTTAGCAGAAGGTGAACACTGCACAAAAGTCTCTGATCCAGATAAGAAAAATAAATTAGTGAGAATGGTTATTACACCCATATCAGCAGGATTTGCCCTTTCATAACACAAGCTTCCTGCACCAGCTTCAAACACTTTATCCTGGAAATCTTTCACCTCAAAGGACCGTGACCATGCTCAAATTACACTAATGCTGTTAGCTCACAGATAACTCAGAGATTTCTCCCTTTCTTCAGAAATCTTGGGGTTTATGACTTATCCCATCAATTGTTTCCAAAAATGGAACAGGTCTCTGCCTGCCCAGGCTCGGGAGAAGATCAGGCCTTTACCCCATGACTTACTTTTGAAGAAACAAAATACTTCTAAACTTGCCATGGTTATACACCTGCCAAGAAGCAGGGATCACCAGTAATGCCTCAGAGTTACTCAGAAGCTGTTGTATATCCAGGGAAAAGCTCTGTGATGTAAAAACAGCAGGCAAGGCTTCAACTCAGCACTTGCAAGTCATCTTTATTAGCTTTGCTCCTGGTTCAGCTCTGCTAGAACCCCTGAAGAAGCTGTTTTACCCTTTGGGTACATGCAACACTTTTAAATATTTTGGAAGTTTTAAGTGTGTATTTTATGGTTTCTTCCCCTCCTCTGTGTGCTCCTGCACAGCAATGGCTCAGGGCAGTGCTTTATACATTCCAGCCACAGGCACTGCTAGAAAGGAACAACCCAGGACAGGACCACAAATCCCACAGAAAGACTCATGGAAATGCCACTGAATTACTGGAGGGATGATTAACACAGCAGGGTCACCACTGGGCACCGGTGTGCTCGGCCAGCTGTGAGTGCTCCAGTATCCAAAGCAGGAGGAGCAGAGGGTCCCCACCCCTGGAAACCCCCTCCCTGGAGACCTGAACCCAGTTCCTGGGACAGAGGAGCCGCCTGTCTTGGAGGTACCACACAAGGACAAACAGAATCCCAATCACACAGAGTGGTTAAGGTTGGAAGGAACCACTGGAGGTCATCTAGTTCAGCCTCCTTGCTCAAACAGGTCCCCTCAAGCACATTCACAGAACCACAGAATATGCTGAGTTGGAAGGGACCCACAAGGATCATCAAGTCCAACTCTTATCCCTGCAAAGGACCATCCCCAAGAATCACACCATGAGCCTGAGAGCATTGTCCAAATGCTTCTGGAACTCTGTCAGGCTTGCTGCTTACTCAGGATTGTGTCCAGAGTATCTCCAGGATCACCTCTCTGGGCAGCCTGTTCCAATGCTCAGTCACCCACACAGTAAAGTCCTTCCTCATTAGTAGGTGGAATGTTCAGTGTCCATTTTCTGCCCATCCTGTTGCAGATCCTGGCTCCATCCTCACTCCATGCCCCCCGTGCGACCGGATCCCTCCCCACATCCCCACCCACACCCACCTGCAGGAGCAGCAGGATGAGGAGCAGCTCCATGGGGAGCAGTGGGACCATGAGGAGCCTGGGAAGGTCGTGCTGTGGGAGGTGGGAGCACCCCGGTGCAGCAGAGCCGGGGCCGTGGAACGTTGTGCGACGGCTCCCACGGCCCAAAGCCTTTAAACCAGCCCCGGGAGCTGCCCCAGAGGCCTGGGAGCGTTTCCGCCTCGTCCCACAAAGCGAAAGAAGATTAATTGTTGTTTCTGTAAAACTAGACCAGAAGAAAAGCTCAATCCTCCCGTGGTGTTGGTTCCCTTCAGCCAGTTTGCAGCTGCCACTTCCACACCCAATAAATGGGCCATGGAGGCAATAAAGGTAAACACGTGCCTTGTTTTGCCATTTCTTAAGAACTTAGTTATCTGCAGAAAATAAACAGAAGCTTTATATTCAATGGAAGCTGGTTTTATCTGCCACGCCCAGGAGTTTCTGTGACCTCGGATTTTGAAACAAGAGTAGCTTATTTGAAAGCTGAGATAAACACCACCAGAGTGCCCTGTTGTGCTGAAAAGCCATCACACCGGGGTGAAGCCGTGTACCTGAGGCTGAACTTCCCACCCAGGGGCTGAAAAATACCTTTCACATAAAACTACATAAAGAAGCAGGAAATTAAAAATTAAGTCTTGTAAAATCACGCAAAAAGAAGACAGAGAGTGGCAGAGAGTATGGGGAAGGTCCTGGCTTTGGAAATAGCTCTTACAGCATTTTCCATTCTCCTGTGCTGCTTTTACTGGGCATAATGTTTATTCTCTTTTAGAACTGGAAAAGATATAATATAAAGTCCTGGAAGGCGTGAAAGGAAGACTTAGAAAAGAACTGATCTGCTGTTCAGGCAAGAAAAAATACGTGTCAAATAAGCCCCAATGTTTTGAGCAGCAGTGAGTGTGGGGAGGAAGGCAGGCAGGGATCTTCTGAGGCTCACAGATACCTGTAACAGGCTTGACCAGCAGTGCAGGACTGGATGGGTCAGACATCAGGAAAATCTCAAACAGCAAGAATGTTCTGCTTGTACAGTTCTTGTGTGGTATGTCACAGAGGGGTTTTGTAAAGCTTAACATGAAGATTATAGGAACAGCAATGGAAAGGGATTTTTGACCAAGAGGTAATGCCATTCTCCCCCTTTCAATCTCTCTCCCTTCATTTTCCTCTTGATGAGTCTCAACTGAACATATGGACAGTGTGTGAAATTAAGTTATACATATCCGTGGATATCAGAAATATCAGAATGTGATTCTCTGTATGAATCCACCCACGGCTTTGCTGCTCTTTGGATCATGTTCTGTGTCCTGCAGATTATAACAGAAAATGTTAAACTTACTCATCAGTGCATTTAAAAAAAGGTATGGATGTGATGAAGTAAGTTTTTCCTATTATTTGCACCTATTATGATGCCTTAACACAGCCAAGACAGAAGTGACTGCCAGGTGGAGTAGAAATACTTGTATTTTTATGACCTCACTTGGTCATCAGAGCAAGAGCTGAGATGTGCTGAGCTCCAGCTCCATCCTGCAGGACAGGAATTCTCCCAAAGAATGATCCCGAGATGCCACCTCGAGGATGATGGAAAAAATACAACTCAGTACCAAACAGGCAGTATCTCACTTTTAATGTAGCAAATATACAGTAACTCTGAATTACAAGATCACCTCCCAATGAAATTGCTAGCAAAAATATTCACCAAAAGTTCAAATAAATAACAATACATGATTATCAACATCAAAAGCTGGGCTGCAAACACTCAGTTAATCGAGTTCAGTCCTTCCAGAGTGGTCTGTTTATTTTTCAGATGAAAAACAACCGATGCAATGGGAGCAACAAAGGCTCAATACCTTTAAAATAAGGCAAAAAATAGTACATTCTAGGCAATTTCATTCTGCAGAAATTTCAACTATAATATCAGCTCCAAGAAAGGGTGTCACAGACTGACTGAAAAAACTGCCAAAATCCTCTCAAACTTCTACCAAGATCCTTTAAATAGCAAATACAAGATAAAATTACCTCAAACAATAAATGAAACACAGAAAGGACATGAGCAGTAATGGGATTATGGTGCAGAGGAGGTAAAACTTTTAACTGACCACAATATGAGATGCAAGTAATGCAGAAAAAAGAAACGTGTCAAGAGAAAAAACAGTATTGCTTTACATTTCTTTGTGTGATACATTAAAAATACAGTTTAGCACTACTAAGAAAAGCAGTTTATACACATTGGAGTAAAACTCTGTTCACACCTTTGTAACAGGGTAATTTCATTGAAAACAACTGAGCTGTTCAGAGTTTATAGTTGTGTAACTGAAGGACAATCTGGCTGTTCATCTAAAATGCAACCTGAGCATATTTATTCTGTAGGTAACACTGCAGAACATTAAACCCTGACATCCTCTAGCAAAAAAAATAAATCTCTCTGTTTAAATATCTCACATCCCAGCAACTCGTTCTTCAAGAAGCATCACCAGTGCCAGGCTTAGACATACAGATGATCCTATTGCTAAAGATAGTAAAAAAAATAATAGCCACACACTATGCTGTGGATGTATCTTAATTAAATAATTTTAAACTGAATGTATTTGATGGAATAAAATCTTCTGCTATATTCAGAAGTGCTTCTAAAGACAATATACATCAATACAAAATGAAGGAAGCATAAACCATATTCCTCTTCACAAAAAGAGCTCTTTTTATTTGTAGACCCAGAACACAGTCAAGTTAAAGTGGAAACAGGATAAAGCCTAACCCTTGCAGGTCTGCTCAGGCCAAGAGCTGTTTGTTGAGGCAAACACAGAATTTCTACTGTGTGTGAATAAAGACAACTATAGAAGTATCAAATCAGGGAACAGAAATTAGATTGATGTGATCATCATGTGAGACAAACTTACTTGGCCAGATCACACCCAGCTGAATGATGAGCAAGTATTCAGATTTATTTGAAGTGGCATCACCATCTCCACCTCCTTCACTTTTTATCTCCAACAACAGCCTGATGTCCACCAGATCACAAAGCACTACACTAAAACAAAACTTTCCTACCTCTGTGATAACAAACTTTTCTCAGTGCCAATCACCTTTGATCTGGTTTCTGATTGAAATGTTGCTTATTTATTCTTTAAGCAGTGATCATGCAAAATGTGCCTGTATCCACATGCCCTCCTCAGAACCCAGGAAAGCATCAATACACAGGAAGGTTTCATAGGAAAATTTAGCATACACTAATATTCAGTGCTGTAACAACATGCTAAATTAATGACTGCACCTAACAGAATTTGTTTAAAAACCTGCTATTCTGATTATTGCCTGGATCCTGCCCGTTTTTTGTGCTTAGAACAGTGCACTGAACTCCTGCTCATTGGCAAGAGCAGCTCGACCTTTCACTGCTGTGATTGTGAATCAGGAAAACTCGACTAAGGCAGGCTTGTAAAACTGGGCCAGAGCTTGAAATAGAAGCATTGGATGCAGGAACTTTTCATCTAAAAAAGCTGAAATAAGTGATGAGGCTGGGCCAAAACAAAAGGGTGAAACAGTGACAATGGGATGTGCTGGTCCTCTGTAGCTGCTGGTGTTCAGTTCCACCCTCTGAGTCCATCCCACCTCTGAGACAAGCCAATTTATTGGATCTTTGAGCATGTCAGATTAAGTGTCACTTTAATTGCATAGAGCTCAATGTACATGCAACTACAATTCATTTTAACTGTAATTTCACAAATACTGAATCTGGAAACGTGATACCATTATATTTGTTTCCTTTATCAATTTAAAATTTCACATTTGGTCTCCAGCAGACTAGGAAAAAAAACCACTAAAAATATTTCTTAAGACTATTCCTGAGCAATGTTTTTATGTACTGTAAAATACTCTAGTTTATTACTACATTTATTAAGATTCTCACATTTTAAACTACCTATATATAAATCCATGCTTTGAAATTTTACAAAGCTGAAGATCTGGTAGGCACAATGAAGAATAGAAACAGCTAAGCATCTTAAAACCAAGATGAGCTCACCGAGAGAAGTGCAATTTAGCTATATACACAATGTACTCTTTAGTATTTGCTACTTTTTCTGTTTTCTATTACAATGTGAAGGATCCACTTGTAGGATCTGGTCCATCAGACCTCAGCTCACTGCTCATGAACACTGTAACTGGGTGGCTGAGGGTGAATTTAATGCTGACCAAGATTGCATTTTTAAATGAAAATACAAAACATCCTCTAGAATTTAATTTAAATAAGATCATGTCCCCAGCTGCTGTGACTGAGTTGGAATTGTAACAGATGAACTGTCTGAACTGTCCTTTGTATTCTCTTGTATCTCACAGACACAAGAGAAGCCAGAGGGTCCAAGGACAGGACCCAATCCTGGTTGTACAACTTTCTTCTGTAGGATATTTCCCCATGTCACCTCAGTAAACCTTGAAACAAGAAGCCAAGCTAGACTGGACCATGGGATAAATAACAGTCATCTTGGGTGACTGAAAATCGGTATCTTCTGTATCAAAATGTATCTTTACTTGACCTTAAAATACCCTTTAAATTCTTCCCCTAGGAGTTTATTTTTTAGATTTTGAGAGGTCACCAGTTCTGCAAATTAGGCCACACAGTCTCTGGTAATACCCTCACTTTGCATTACTCAAATATATCCATGTGCAATTTGAAATTTGGTCATTTCCTCTAAAGACAAAAAGCATCAAGACTTACAAAATGAACTTCCAGGACAGCCTCTGTAAACACAGTGAAGATTCCAGGTATAAAAATACACATTCCATTTTCTTAATCTGTAACTATTGAAGCTGTCTGCTCCCTAATATTTTGTCTTAAAAAGATCCTTTCTGCATTAAAATATTTCAAAACATTATCTCCGTTCTTCTTCTTCTCAAAAAAATAGCATCTATTTCATCAAAAAAATCCAATTCATCATCTTCTGTGAAGAATTAGAGTTGGCTTTGCATAGATAGCAGGCTCCATTATTTTACATAAAACAGCTGAGCCCTTTCCATCAGAAAACACCACC